GACATAATAACATGCTAAAAGATAGGAAAGAAAGGGTTCAAAATTTGAAAGTTGTAAACTCAATATTAAGTCCAGAAGGCTTTAAAATTTGTTTTTGTGAATAATGGAAGAGTGAGACATATTTCTATCCACAGATGCTTACATGTTTGTCTGTGCTCAAATTACAACTCAAGCATACAGGAGCAGCAGGCAATTAGGAAGTCAAATAATGTGTTTGCAAAGTGGTTGTGTATTAGGGTGAAGAAAAGTCTTAGTATAGTTACACAGGGCAGTGGTGAGGTCATCTGTAGAGTACTGTGCACAGCTATGAGTACTTTGCCTGAAAGGGAATGCAACAAACGTTCACTAGGCTGGCTCTTGGAATGAGTGGATTGCCCTATGAATGGAGGTTAGGGTGTTATTTTCTAGAGTTGTAGAAGAATTAGGGGTGACCTAATTGAAATATGTAAAATTTAAAGGTCTTGACAAGGTGGATGCTGCTCAGATATTCTAGAATGTAAGTCATAGCGCAAGGAATTGGCCATTTAGAACTGATATCGAAAGGAATTTCTTCACTCGAGATTGTGAATCTTTATAATTCTCTACTCCAGTGAGTTATGGGATGCTCAGTCATTGAGTATATTCAATGTAGACGCTGATAAAGTTGATTAAGGGATATGGCAATAATTTGGGCAGATGGAGTTGAGTTATTGGGTCAGCCATGATCTTGTTGGAGGGGGTGTTCAAACTCTAAGGGCCAAAAAACCTATTCAGTTCCTATTTCTTACGTTTAATGTAATCTGAGCTGGTTAGCTGTGACAGAAACCTAAAGACATTTTGGAACAATAGTTTTGTTGAGGGTCATAAATGAGGTAAGGAAGGGTTAGGTGCTTCTAGGACCATGATGACATATTGGATTCACTGTTTCAGAACTATTGGAGAATCAATTTTGTGTGTACAATGAAGGGTTCTTAATTTCATGACGACTTCCCACCTATTACCTCTTCTCAAAGTTATTCTCTTTTTCCTATGAAGAGTTTAAGAAACTTGCTTTTCCCTTTAATTAACCTGTCTCCCATACTTCTCACGCAACCCACCATCAAACTATTCATTCTTCCAAAGCCCAAATATGTCCAAGATTGCAATAATATTTCCACTCCTTAGAACAAAGGATTTGAATTACGCTATTTGACACCTTGAGTCTGCTCCAATATTCAATAAGATCTAGGCTGATCTGAACTCTACCTTCTTGCTTGTCCCTGTAATCCTTGACTCCCCTATAATTTAGGAATCTGTCTAGATCAGCCTTGGAAAATGTTCCCTGACAGAGGGTCCTCCACTCTCCTGCGTAGAGCATTCCAAAGACTTGTGACTCTCAGACAGAACTAATTTCTTTTCCTTGCTTAAATAAGCTTTTCCATTCTGAAACTCTGGGCCCTAGTTCTAAATTTCCCATTCTAAAGAAGGGTAACTGGACCTGAGTTGTTAAGTCCACTTACTTTTTCTCCACAGATGCTGCCAGACCTGCATCCATGCAGGTCTGCATTCTTGATTTTCTTTTTCTAAATTTCCACCTTGGGGAGACGTTCCCTCAGCATCTATCCTGTCACATCTTTCCTCTGGAAACAGCTCCCTGAATCTTGTCTGAATTGTCTTAAATGTATCCCTCCTTAAGCAACAAACTCTACGCAGTACTCTAGATGTGGTCTCACCATCGCTCTATGCTTTTCTTCCTGCTAAATTGCAAGAACCTCACATTTTCCCAAATTTTATTGCATCTACCAAACTTTTACTCACTCTCTTGACTGATCTATACAGACTGTATCTTCACAAATTATTCCCCAGTATCTTTGAAGCCAGATTTGCTCATGATGCAGTCCCCTTGATTTGTTTCTTTCCAGCCATCACTATTGATTGCAAACAGTTGAGGCTGCAGCACCGATACTGGTGGCACCTTGATTGTTTTCCAAGCTGTAAATGACCCCTTTAACTTCTTCCTCTGTTTCTGCTCAGTTGATCATTTCTCTATCCATTTCAGTATATTACTTCTAGAAGCATGAGCTCTTATCTTGTCTAGTAACCTTATTGAATGCCTTTTAGAAATACAAATATTCTACAGCTACTAGTTCTCCTTTGTCTGCCCTGTTCATAACATCAAGAACACAGTTTCACTTTGATGAAATCATGTTTGCACTGTTTGATCATATAATGGATTTCTAACTGTCCTGTTACTACTTCCTTAATAATATATTCTCGTACTTTTCCCATGGACTATGTTAGACCAAGTGGCCTGTAATTTCAAGCTTTCTATCTCCTTCCTTTTCTTGAATAGAGATATTACACTGGCAGTGTCCCAGTCGGCTGAGATCTCTCTCGCATGTAGAAAATTGTGAAAGATTACAACCAAGACATTAGCTTATCTCTTCTGGAAGTTATTTTAAAACACCATGATTCAGGTCATCGAGTTTAGGTGATTCATCAAACCTAACTCTATTGGTTTGCTTAGATAACAAGGTGTAAAGCTGGATGAACACAGCAGGCCAAGCAGCATCACAGGAGCAGGAAGGCTGATGTTTCGGGCCTAGATCCTTCATCAGAAATGGGGGAGAGGAAGGGGGTTCTGAAATAAATAGGGAGAGAGGGGGAGGCGGATAGAAGATGGATAGAGGAGAAGATAGGAAGAGAGGAGACAGACAGGTCAAAGAGGCGGGGATGGAGCCAGTAAAGGTGAGTGTAGGTGGGGAGGTAAGGAGGAGATAAGTCAGTCCAGGGAGGACGGACAGGTCAAGGGGGCGGGGTGAGGCTAGGTAGGAGATGGGGGTGGGGCTTGAGGTGGGCGGAGGGGATAGATGGGAGGAAGGACAGGTTAGGGAGGCGGGGACAAGCTGGGCTGGTTTTGGGATGCGGTAGGGGGAGGGGAGATTTTGAAGCTTGTGAAGTCCACATTGATACCATCGGACTGCAGGGTTCCCAAGTGAAACATGAGGTGCTGTTCCTGCAACCTTCGGGTGGCACCGTTGTGGCACTGCAGGAGGCCCAGGATGGACATGTCGACTGAGGAATGGGAGGGGGAGTTGAAATGGTTCGTGACTGGAAGGTGCATTTGTTTAGTGCGAACCGAGCGTAGGTGTTCTGCAAAGCAGTCCCCAAGCCCCCATTCGGTTTCCCCGATATACAGGAGGCCACAACGGGAACAGCAGATACAGTATACCACATTAGCAGATGTGCAGGTGAACATGGGGCCTGGGATGGGGGTGAGAGGGGAGGTGTAGGGGCAGGCGTAGCACTTCCTGCGATTGCAGGGAAAAGTGCCGGGTGTGGTGGGGCTGGAGGGGAGTGTGGAGCGGACAAGGGAGTCACAGAGAGAGTGGTCCCTCTGGAAAGCAGATAAGGGTGGGGAGGGAAAAATGTCTTTGGTGGTGGGGTCGGATTGCAGATAGCGGAAGTGTCGGAGGATGATGCGTTGGATCCGGAGGTTGGTGGGGTGGTACGTGAGGACGAGGGGGATTGCTTGGTTTGCTTAATGCTTTGTCTGTAGTAATAGTTTTTATAACTTTACCCCTCCCATTTGCCCACTGACTTCTTACTGGCAGATTTGATGTCCACACACTGAAGCCTAGGTAATATTAGTTCCAAGCTTTTGGCATTTCCTGTCTTACCACAACTGACAGATCAGTCTAAGCTCTGCAGTTCTGCCACATGCACTCCAAATGGTGGTGAACCAATACAACAACTTACTGGAGGAGGTTCCACAAATATCCCCAACCTCAATGTGGGTGAGCCCAACATGTCAGCGCACCAGGTAAGGCTGAACCCTTCACAACAATGAGTGCCAAGTGAATAATCCATTTTGGCCTCCTTCATCACTTTCCAGCCTCTTAGATGCCAGCCTTCAGCTGTTCAGTTCACTCCACATGATAACAAGACAGGAACAAAGACAATGACATGGCGAAGGTTATGGACCATGACAAAATTCCATCATTGATACTGAAGATTCGTGCTCCAGAAATATCCGTACCGTTATCCAAACAGTTCCAGTAGAGCTGCAACACTAGCCTCTACCTGATATGGAAAATTGCCAAGTTATGTCCTGTTGACAAAAAGCGGGACAAATCCAACCCAGCCAATTACTGCTCCATCAATCTACTCTTGATCATTAGTGAAGTGATGGAAGTGTCATCAACAATGCTTTTAAGGACCACTTGCTCAGCAATTACCTGCTCACTGACACTCAGTTTGAGTTAGACCTGGGCCACTCAACTTCTGAAATAATTACAGCCTTGCTCCAAAACTGGTCAAAAGGCCAAACTCCTGGAGTAAGATGAGATTGACTGACCTTGACATCAAAATAGCGTTTGACTGATTCAGGCATGAAGGAGCCTGAGCAAAACTGGAGTCGCTGGGAATCGAGCAGGGGAGGGGGAGCTCTGGTCTCACACTGGCAGATAGGAAGATACTTATGATTGTTGGAGAGCAATCATCTCAGCTCCAGGACATCTCCGCAGGAGTTCCTCAGTTTAGTGTCCTAGGCCCAACCATCTTCAGCTGCTTCATCAATGACCTAGCGCCACCCCTCCCCATCATAAAGTCAGAAGTGGAAATGTTCGCCGATGATTGCACAATGTTCAGCACCATTAGCGACTCCTCAGATACTGAAGCCATCCATATTCAAATGCAGCAAGACCTGGACAACATTTGGCATGGGCTACTAAGTGGCAAGGAACATTCATGACTACACAAGTGCCATGTATGGGAATCTCTACCAAAAGATAATCTATCCATCTCACCTTGATGTTTTTTTTAAACTTAGTAAGTGGATGTGCTGATTCTGAGTATTAATTGCCTATCACTTGGGCGAGCATTACTTGCTCTTGAGAAAGCAATGAAATTGCAGTGTCTGAATCCCACACCATCAATATTGTGGGATTATCACTGATCAAAAACTGAACTGGATCAGCCATATAAATACAGTGGCTTCAACGGCAGGTCAGAGGCTAGGACTACATCAGTATGTAACTCACCTCTGGTCTGCCTGACCACCATCTGCAAGGCATTAGTCAGCACTCTCCACTTAAGGTGTTTGAGAAGATTTGTAGCTCGGGTTGTGATGCAGTTGTTGACTTGTTCGCCAATCTAGTAAGTTTGTTCGCAAACGTTTCATCACCCTGTTAGGTAACATCATTAGTGTGCCTCCGGTGAGGCATCAGTGTTCTGGAGCCGAACAACAACAGATTTCCCTTCCTGGACGTAATGGTCGATCGTAAGGCCAACAGTGAGCTCCAGACCAGCGTACACAGGAAGGCCACCCATACAGATCAGGTACTTAACTACAATAGCAATCATCCCAATACCCACAAACGGAGTTACACTGTTCAAACGAGCCACGACACACTGCAGTACCCCGGAGCTACGCAAAGCCGAGGAATAATACCTTTACACCGTATTTAGAAACAACGGTTACCCGAAAAAGCGTAGTACGTGGATAACTACACAACAGGAAGGCACAAAATGTCCAGAGACACTAATCACCCTACCATACATTAAGGACATATCTGAAATGACCACCAGATTACTCCACCCCTTAGGAATCATAATAGATCACAAACCAACAGCCTCAGTACGACAGCTACTGATTAGAATTAAGGATCTGACAACCACAACTAACAGAACCAACGTTATTTCCAAGATACAATGCAAAGACTGCCAGAAACATGACATAGGGCAAACTGGAAGGAAGCTCGCTGTCAGGATTCATGAACACCGACTAGCCACCAAGAGACACGACCAACTATTACTCACTTCAATACATATGGACAAAGACGGACACCAATTCAACTGGGACAACGGAGCTATCCGAGGACAAGCCAAGCAAAGACACACATGAGAATTCCTGGAGGCCTGGCACTCAAACCGGAACTCCATTACCCAGCATGTAGAACTGGACCCCATATACCAACTGCTAAAACAAGTCCGGAAGTGATGCCACCCGCCTCAACACCAAGACACGCAAGCGGGACAAAACACTGCTTCACCAGAGCCGCACTGATGATGTTACCTAGCATGGTGACGAAACATTTTGTGAACAAACTTACCAGCTCAGTGAGCAAGTCAACAACCACTGTCCACTTATCTGGATGGGTGCAGCTCCAACAGCACTCAAACTTGATGCAATCAGGAGAGAACATCCTGCTTAGTTGACGCCCCATTCACCACCTTCAACACTGCTGCCGCTGTCATTTGGTGAGGGGAGGCAGTGTACTCCATATATAAGGTGTAGTAACTCACCAAGCCTCCCTTGACAGCACTCTGCAAACCTGTTGTGACCTCCTCACCTCGAAGGGGCAATGCTACCTGCCAGTTCAAGTACACCTGTCCCAATAAAACCGCTTCCCCTTTTTGCAGTACATGCACTAATGCTCCATAAGTCAAACCCATTTTCCCCATGTGTATTTGAGCCAAATTGAATCTTCTGATCTTATTTGCACACTCTCAATTTGCTTGTGGTTCAGACGCTACAGTAATCTAGAAGTTATTATTTTTCACTGTTTTACTCTAACTCCTGGATGTGCATAATCTCTCAGCAGAATCTCTTTTTTGACTTTGTCATTTGTACCCACATGACCTCATAACTGGATCCTTCTCCTTCCATTCTGCAGCACCGAAGATGTGGAATGGACTGTTCCCACACTGTAGGGATTCTATGATAGGTCAACTTAATGCTGGTACAGGCAGGCAACACAATGTTTGTGATCCATACCCTTGGCTGGATGAGTATCCATCCCGTGGACCATACTGTACACCAAGCCATTTAACTCTGTCTCTCTCCCCCCGGTCTTCACACTCTACTCTATTTTGAATGGGCCGGTCGACCACTGTGCTGCTGTCAGCCCACTCATCCTTCCTACAGGCCTTGACCTTCTCCCTTGCTGTGAAAACCTCTTGTTGGACAAGGGCTGAGGCTACTCGAACGCAAGCTTTCTGATGTCCCATACCTGTGCTTGCTTCATGAAACAATGTCCAGGTAACTCTTCCACACTCCCCCAATCCTATTGCATCACAGGGTCTAAAGCTCAGAGTTGAGCTCATCAACTCCGAGTTGCATTTCTGATGAAGGGTCTAGGCCCTAAACGTCAGCCTTCCTGCTCCTATGATGCTGCTTGGCCTGCTGTGTTCATCCAGCTCTACACCTTGTTATCTCAGATTCTCCAGCATCTGCAGTTCCTACTATCTCTGATACAATTTTAACCCCACTGCGAAGCCTCTTCTAAGGATGCCTAGCCTGAAGAAGTTACCCCGCTCCCTCCGGACAAACCTCCATTTCTGAAGAAGGGTCTAGGCCCGAAACGTCAGCCTTCCTGCTCCTATGATGCTGCTAGGTGTGTTGTGTTCATCCAGCTCTACACCTTGTTATCCCAGTTGTAGTTCCTTGAGTTGTAGACGTTGAATGTAGGTATGGTTCCTGTGGATCACACTGGTATCTGCCAGCTCCCACAGGCTGCAGTTACAGATCACCACCTGGCTGGCCATAATTATTGTATTGTATTTTATTTAGCTAATTATGTTTTCGAGTTTTGAACATCACTTAATTGTCCATTTGTGTAAAAACCTTGTTTAAAATCCAACTAACCTGCACATGTTTGGACTGTTGGAGGAGACTGGAGCAGCAGGCATGGGGAGAATGTGCAAACTCCGTGCAGACTTTAATCTAACTTGTAAGCTCAAAATATGCTGTTCCATCTTTGAGCTTCCTTTTAGCTTCCTCATCTTATTGAAATTGAGACCCATCAAAGTCCTCTTTGTCCACCAAATTAAATTTATAGTACTTCCCGGCACCTTCAATCCTCTATTTCCAATCATTTGCCTAGTATTATAACTCAAAATTAGCATCAATTGATCATGACAACAATTTACCCAGGCTGTTTTATTGCCATCAGCATGATTTGTTTTCCACAGTTTCTACAACTGTTTATTCTCACCAGTCACATTTCACTCGATTGAATAATTTAAATGTTCACAGGCGGACAGCTATTGCAGATTGTAATAGGAAATTACCTTACCAAAAAAAAATTGTTCATGATTATTGGAATTTTTTTTAAGATTAATGTCCTGCAGCTCCACTTATTTGATGGAATTTTTGTATGCATACACAGCTGTGCACAATGGTTTCTCTTTTTAAAAAATAGTGGAGGAAACTGTCAGAGAAATAGTGATGGTGCTACGATAGAAGTTGTTAAAAATATTTGAATGCAGTATTTGTATATTATTCTGAGTCACTCTGCCATGTTCAACTGGTGGTATTTTTCCCATTGAGACTTGCATAAGGTTTTTGGAATCTCAAAATTCTTAAGCATCTTCAACTTTTGAAAAATAGGATATTTCAAGTCACATGATTCACTCGGTCTAAAATTGAATATGTAAGGGATAGATTGAGGATTAATTAAACTACTTTGGTTACATCATTGCCTAAAGCTGGATAGTGTTTCAAAAAGGAAGCAAGCCTCTTGAAATATTGCTTTCTGGCGTCCTTGATTCTTCTCTTTGTGATCTTTTGTTCTTGGCTGTACTGAACTGGGCCTCATTAAAACACATAGAACATAGAACAGTACAGCACAGTACAGGCCCTTCGACCCACGATGTTGTGCCGACCTATTATCCTACTCTAAGATCAAACTAATCTGCATTTACTACATCTTACTATCATCCATGTGCCTATCCAAGAGTCACTTAAATGTCCCTAATATATCTAACTCTACTACCACCGCCGGCAGTACATTCCACGCACCCACCACTCTCTGTGTGAAGAACCTACCTCTAACATCTCCCTATACCTTCCCCCAATCACCTTAAAGTTATATCCCCTCATGATAGTCATTTCCGCCCTGGGAAAAAGTCTCTGGCTATCCACTG